TGGTAAGGTGACTCAACTGTTATGCATTTTAACAGATATACGGAATATCTTATATCGGAACTGTTTCCAGGCATCGAGAATTCCTGTTAAGCGAATTCGCAACTTGTTCGCGGAGGATCTTCACCTCTCCTTTGAAAGGAATATTTTCGATCCTTGATGTCGATAAAGCACCTTCCCGTTTGATCGTGCTCGCGTCCTAAGAATCTTTCGATCTCATTGTTCGTGGGCAGCAGGGCAGAAAGCGGCGCTTCCGGTTTCAAGTTGGCTCACAGCACGACGACAACAGACAGAGCACAGGGCCCGGTTGCATCCTGATCGTTCGGCCAAACACCTGCGCCGCATTTCACGGGTAAAAGGATCAAGGTCGAAAAGAAACTATTGCCTGGCTTATTGGTCACATTCTTTTTTTTTTTTTTTCTCGACAGTCGTAACTGTGCGATCGCGTGTTTTTTCACAGGTCTCCACGAGTTTATATACGCCTCGTTACGCAACATACAAACGAAGCGGTATATAATTGAAGGTGGTTCGATATAAAAATCGAAGGAAACGATGGAGAATTAAAGCGAATCATTTGCAGTATACGTGAGTAACCGCTTTTTTTTTTTTATATTTCATTTTTATTTTTCGTTCAAACTATATAATACGCAATTAAAGAAATCGGATGATAATTTACAAAATTTAATTATATTCACAGCCACGTTCGATCGATGGAAAATTGTCGTGGCAGCGAACGCATCGTGGAACCGGAAGTCGCCGTGGGATCGCCGTGGATGTTTGAAAATATAACATGTATCTCGTACCACCACCTTCTATCCTGGAAACCAGTCGAAACACAATGCTATCGTATACGTTTCGAACATCGCGTGTAATACCTGTTATTAATATCAGTGATAGAACGATACATGAAGGATATTTGCTTGACTCGCGTTCGCAAAGAAAACGACTTCTTTTTAAGGAATTCATAAATACGTGATTATTAGAATATGTGTATAACGATATATTGTGCTTAGATAAAGTAGGTTATTGGATGTTAATAATCCGAATTAGCTATTCACGAACGCGCCCATCCGCTTCCGAGTACGTGTGCAACCCACACACGCCCATGCCACACCATCAGAGGATGGTTAACTTTATGATTCATGAAACTTATCTTTATGGTCAGGTGAGTAACATCGCCGGTCCCATAACAATGGGGGAAGATGGACGGCAGACGAATCCTTCTCGAGCATTGTGAGGTACACGTGAGAGATATAACGTATGCACGTTTAATCACGTACGAGGTCAACGTGTCATTTGCTCGTGGCCTTTCACCGTGATCGGGTCAACGGATCAAACCCCCGCCGATCGTAAAGCAGAAAACATTTGTCGAGGAATCGAGCGGAGATGCATTCCGATATTCGATAGAAAATAGGAAATAATTCGATCGATATTCGCCGATCGAGCGTGACAACATCCTATTTTCTAAACGAAGAAATACGGAGTTGATTCACATCCAGAAGTCGTGGGCGAGCACGAACGTCATTAAAGCCTGTAACTTTCCCGTCCTTGGCGAGTAAACGATATTTCTGCGGGACCGAATTGTCCGATCTTTCTTGTCGGTGTCGATTCTTGGACAGGGGGGAAACTTACTCTCGCGAAACGACTCTCCGTCGTTTGCGTTGTTTCCAGATGGTTCCGTTAACTACGCGAAAATGTAAAAATAATCGAAGAACGATATTCGTTGTCTCTCGAGCAGAAAATACGCGGTACAAAATTCTATTTATCTCCGGTCCGGATTTTTGAACGCTGCTGCATTATTTCCGAATCCTCTCGAAGGAACATTCGCCTTTTTCTTTTTTTTTTTTTCAAATTATCGGCAATAAAGAAGATAAATATTGACACGCGGGCGAGATCAGAAACGTGCAGGAGATACATCATCGACTTTATTGCCGATCCACGCCGCTCGTGCGAGAAGAATTACAGTGGGAAAAATGTTCTGATGTATAGGTACGAATAAAAAGAAACGATATTCCACTGAGAGAGAGAAAGAGAGAGAGAGAGAAAAAATTGAAACGCGCGTACGGAAAGGCGACACGTGATCGCATGTTTCGCGGTCTAATCGCGCTTCCTCGGGGATCGTTTAATTAAATTCCAACTGCGTCGATAGTTTTTAGCCCGAGCGAGATATCGCTCGTGCATAAAAAAAGAACTTGCAACGATCGTTCGATCGTTATTAGACGGAACGAAACAACGCTTAGAGGCGACGTTAAATCCGGTAAATCCGAGGAGGAATTTATCTAATTACAAAGCGTTGGCAACAGAATGACTCTGCAAAATAGATTCCCGGAAGTTATTATTTGCATTTTGGTTTATTAATGACAACACGTCGTAAGCGGTATCGTTCTCAGGACATAATGACAAGTTAAAAATAATTAATACGAAGACAGGTGTTCAAGCCCGATCGATGAATTGTAAGAATGATCTTGACACGCGGGTAAGAAAAATTACATAATCGATCGGATCCGTTCGCGATACGATGGATCATTCTGGCTTGCCGATAACGCGTCGAATTATTATTAGATACGTAAATATCAAAGAACCGGCATCATCTTTATTTATAGGATATATGTTGCAAGTTATTCGTAACAAGAACTACAAATTCGTATCGCATCCGTGGGATTATTGGGAACCCACGTCAAGGCTAAGCGAGGTCGGTCCAAATTCGAGACACACCTACGGAACGAGAACAAGAGTGTTGCGCGAATTCGGGACGATTCGGTCGATCTGAAAGATCTACACACGCCGGACGAGTGTATAAAGATTTTCGTGAAGGAGGTAACGAACCGTCAGAGCCGATAGAGACCCTCCATCGTCGCGGTGTTCAACGTCCACGTCGAAGTCTAGCTGGACTATGGCCAGATTCAAAAATAAGCCGAATTTTCGACGGATTTGCCGATTGTCAGCGATCATTTCGCGTCATCTCGAGAATCCACGTGTTTCCCCTCTCAGGATTTTTACACGTCTCGTACGGACTCGACGCGACCCGAAGGACAATTTTGAATGTTCGCGGTCATTCCGGGAATCATCACTATTTCCGTGATACACGCTTGGCAAGGAACGAGAAATCCGCCTTTTCCCACACACTTTCCCCTTCCAGATTTTTTTCTCGCGTAAAAAATGACACGGTCCCGATATAAAAAATTCCGAGACAACGTGGTGCTACCGCGAATCCATGATTCATAAGATCGATTTAACAAAAATCCGTGAACCCGTTCGAGTCCGTTGCTCTCTCTCTCTCTCTCTCTTTTTCTCGCGTTTTTCGACAAATCGGCGGCAAACGAAAATCGAGGGAGAAAGGAGGACTATTTTATAATTTCGCGGCGGATTGACGCAACCGTGTAACGGGGTCCACGATGACGACACGATTTCGTTCCGCGCTCTCGGACCGTATTTTTAAATGCCGCCGCCTTTTATCTTCGCGACCAGCCGCGAATCTTCCGCGATCGCCGCTTATAAATCACTCTCTGCTCTCTCGTTGCTTACAGAGAAGTAAGGAGAGAGAAAGAGAAAGAATGGAAGAAAGAAAGAGAAAGAGAGAGGTGGGGCCAAACGAGAGATGTGTTTCTCGTTTCTCGCACACAGTGAGAGTTCTCCCGTTGGAGGCACGATACGAGGTGGGAGAGAAACACGGTGAAAAGGGATGGAGGGGTGAAGGGGAAGGAGGGAGGGAGAAGGGGCAAGAGAAGGATAGACAGCCTTTTGAGTCCCCTCGGTGACCAGTTTAGTTCTGCTTGGCATTCGAACCGCACCAGAGATCATGTGACAGAAGACAAGGGGCTAGGATCCTCGAATAAGTTTCGATCCTTGATCCGTTTTGGACCGCGTCAGATCATCGATAGACGGTGGACCGCATCGATCGATCGCGATCCACGATTCGCTGCCACGGGATATAGTATAAGGTGTCTGTGAATCAGTTTGTACTGTGAAAACTTCACGCGTTTCCTCGTGCACGTGCTGATTCCATCGTGTTGATTATTTTTTTTCTTCCCTTCTATTTTTCCTCGAACGAACCGTTGCGAATTCTTGGAACGTCATCGAACCGCTATGCGATCGAGAGGCGCGTAAAATCGCGTAATAATATAAATACGCGAGGTAAATCGCGTTTCTTTTCCGCGTTTCGTCAGTGCACGATCAAGGATGACCGGTTCGAAAGAGGCAGGATCGAGATCGTGACGGCACACGCAACACGTGCACTCCGTTTAAATCAACAAACAGCGGCCGGTCACGTAAAAACACGGCTCGCATACATTTAACGACGAGGAAAGCGTACGTCTTTTCGTATTTTCCCTCCTTCTCTCTTTCCACCGCGCTCTACCTTCCTCCGCACACCGCTCTCCATAAATGACACTTGTGAAATCAACGCACACATTTTCACCGCTCCGAGCAAGCGACTGTAGAAAAGAGGGTCGTTGACAGCGGGAGACCGCGTGATAAATGTACCGGTACGCGTTCGCTCGCCTCCGTTCCCTGCAAATTTTTATGAAAAGATCAATTTACCCTCGTGTTTACCGCGACTTTTGCTCACCGGATTCGCACATCTGTCGCGCGTGAAAATTAAATTCTCGCTTCGCGCGCGATTCCGCTCTGGACTCTCGTGGACTCTGTTCGCGCTCGTTGACGAGGGAAAAAAACTCGAGTCACAGAAGTCAAAGAATCGAAAAGTGCGGAATATGAGATCGATCGATCTCGACACGGCCTAAGAATAGTCGAGCGGATTCGTTGAACCGGGGTTCTTTTCCTTTCTTTCCACGTGTCCACCGTGTGCACAGGGAAAATAAATCGGCAACTTTCACCGATATACAGTACCAACGACAGTAGCTCGTAAACCATGTCGGGAGATACGACGTCGGACGAGGAAGGATCGCAGGAGGACTCCCCTCGATACGACATCGACGATCTGGAGATCATCAAGACGATAGGTGAGCACACGATCCTATTCATCTCCTTTCACTGACGACTCTCGAGCCGTGCGATAGAAAAACTTTCTACTCGTGTACATGCGTTCGATACTCGATTAGAATGCTGTCTAGACACGCAAGAATTTGTTCAACTATTCGACTCGAAATTCTAGAGATTGCATCGAAAGCAATATTAATCGATCTCCGTTTGTTATTATTTGCGAATGATGACGAGGAACAGGTTTTTGTTAAAGCGAATTGGATGATGTAAACGCTACTCGTCACACGCTGCCGAGTCTTGGTAAAATGTCAGAGACGAGGCGAACTACCCTCTAAACGAGGAAGTGGGCCACTGGAGAGTGAGAGGCTACCAAGTGTATATTTAACTGCTCGTTAAGTTCGAGTTACACGGAATGGGAGATGCAGGTGTTTCTTCGCTGATTTTTCACTCTTTCCCTGTGACTTGTGAAACCGTTCTTCGAACCGTTGTCTAATAGAAAGGAGAACTCCACACCTTATACATATTCCACGATGATAAAAGAATCTAGGTGGGACAGCGTAAAAAGACCGTAAAGCTTGTTTTAAACGCGCTGTCGGGCTTCCCTAATTTCCATTTGAAATTCAACAACGCACAGTCTGGCTTTTGTGGGTCATCAGTGGATAATCCGGACAGTGAGATATTACGCGATGTATGACGTATAATATAACGAGAACGTCGAGGAAATAAATTCTGGAGCAAAAGTATCGATCTCTTATCGTTCCATTTAGCCTGATCGCGGTTTTGCTGGGTCGCGATTAAACTCGTAAAGCAGAGGTAGTAGCTGGCCCGTGTAAGCGGAGATCGATCAGGACAGATGTGCGGACATTGCTTTTTTCGAGACGTAGAACAAGTTTTGGACGAACACCAAAATCCTCTCTTTCTCTCTTCAATGTCCATATGGGAGAAAAACAACGTGTCGAGGGGAAGCGTCTGGCGCGCGTAATTCGAGCGAAATAGCCCACTCGCGTGATGAATGAACCGTGTTATACCTGAAACATTAACCTTCTCCGATCTGATATATTTCCACTCGAGAACTTCCCGTTTAATCATCCAGGATGCGAGGATATTTCGTCGAAGCGTACGTCGATTAAACGACAATGAAAATGAAGATCGTTATTGCGAGCGGAGTTGAAGTCGAAGATTAAGTTGTCGCGGAATTTCCGAGGGAAACGAGATATTTCTCTCTCTCTCTCTTTTCTCGTTTATTTTTTCATCTCGTCGGAAAGAAATATCGGAGACGCTCAATTACGTAAATTGAGGGACGAGCAAAGAATATTTAAAGCATCGGAAACAGCTCGTCGTTCTATCATTGACACCTGTTCTCAGCTGTCGCTGGCAATCACCGCGATCGTTTCACAGGGTATACAACACGATTTTGCGCCCCTTATTTCGCGCCGTCTGCCAATTTTCTCGCATTTATAATGACGCCTCTCTCTCTCTCTCTCTCTGTGTACGCGAAACGTCTGCCCCTCATCTGTGATGCGAACACAGCAATTTACCGGTTAATTTCGGCGCGGACCACGGGCAGGCGGCGGCCATCGCTGTTCCGTTAATTGGTCGTGGTACGTTGAGCAGACCAACTTTAGTCACCTGCATTCGTGGGAAAGTGCATTAAACAGACCGCGTACCACGGATTTTGCTACTAGAGAAAGCGTTGATGATTAAACGCTCGCATGGAATGGATCGATAACACGTGTGAGCTATCTTTTTACCGCTGTTACCTTGTATAAATTAACGAATATAATCGATACTTATATACGCGTGTATACCCGCATTTTTTATCACGAGGAATCGATAATCTTGGCTATTAATAGCCGATCGATACACGCGGAAGCACGAATAAAATTCATAATCGTTCATTGATAAATCGATGTTTTCTTAATGTTGTTTACAATCAGGTACAGGCACTTTCGGAAGAGTGGTGTTATGCAGGCATCAAGGTACTCCTCTAGCCTTGAAGATTCTCTCGATGGTGGACGTGATCAGATTGAAACAAGTGGAACACGTACGGAACGAGATCACCGTATTGAAAGAGGTCAATCATCCCTTTATCGTGAACATGTAAGTCAAATTTGCTTTCTCCTTTCTCCTTTCGACTCGACCAAGCTGTAACATTGTAACGATCGATGAAGGGAATTGTCTGTTTCAAAGGCGAGGAAGTACACTATGTATGGTATGATCAAGAAAGTTGCGAGTTTGTCGGTCAATCGTATCTCTGAAAAAGAAAGCGTAACTAAAAAACTGCGAAAGTGATACCTGCTGATCTCTCATCAACCATTCAAACATGCTTCTCGTTCCATTAAAGATCGCAAATAAAATGTATTTTCTACCATTTTTATTTTATTTATTTATTTTTTTTTTTTTTCATTTAAAATTTTCTGTTTCTAAAATTCTAAAATTCTTACCGTTGCTCCATTATTTTTAACGCCTCAGTTTGGTTTCAGGCTTTGGAGCGGAAGAGACGAGGCAAGAGTATACATGCTGCTAGAATTCGTTGCCGGTGGGGAGCTTTTCTCCTATTTAAGGGCAGCTGGCCGATTTTCCGGGCCCACCAGCTGCTTCTACGCGGCCGAGATCGTGTGTGCGTTGGAATACCTGCACAGCAAACACATAGTTTACAGGGATTTAAAGCCCGAGAATCTTTTGTTGGACAGTCAGGGACACCTGAAGATCACCGATTTCGGATTTTCGAAGAAACTGACGGACAGGTAAACGGATACTTAAAGCAATCTTCTTAACGATATTATTTCTAGAACGTTCAATAATGATAAAAGATAAATATGCAGTATTTTCATCGAACTTGATTGAAACTCGATTATGTCGTAACGCTCGATAAATGCAAGTAAATAAATTGAATAATTCACTTGAATTATTAATTACGATCTATATTTCTGACGTCGATCGATCATATCTTTTTTATTTTTTTTTACTTTTTTTTATTTTTTTTATTTATTTATTTATTTTTTTTTTTTTTATATCGAGATATCAGCAACGTGACTGCTCGATCACAT